CCACAGGAGCACGGCAGACCCCACAGGAGCACGGCAGAGCAGACCCAAAAAGGAGCACGGCAGACCACACAGGAGCAAGGCAAACCACAGGAGCACGGCAGACCACACAGGAGCACGGCAGACCCCACAGTAGCAAGGCAGACCCCAAAGGAGCACGGCAGACCACCGGAGCACGGCAGACCACACAGGAGTACGGCAGACCCCACATGAGCACGGCAAATCCCAAATGAGCACGGCAGACCACAAGAGCACGGCAGACCACACAGGAGCACGGCAGACTCCACAGGAGCACGGCAGACCACAAAGGAGCACGGCAGACCACACAGGAGCCCGGCAGACGCCACAGGAGCACGGCAGACGCCACAGGAGCACGGCGGAACCCACAGGAGCACGGCAGACCGCGCGCGGGTACAACATAAACGCGCCTTTTTGTTGTACCCCGAACGCCGCTGGCGTTTCCCCAACAGGAGCACGGCAGATCTCACAGGCGCGCGGCAGACCCCAAATGAGCACGGCCGACCACAGGAGCACGGCAGACCCCAAATGAGTACGGCAGACCCCAAAAGAGCACCGTAGACGACTCAGGAGCACGGCTGACCACACAGGAGCACGGCAGACCACACAGGAGCGCGGCAAACCACAAAGGAGCAAGGCAGACCCCAAATGAGCACGGCAGTCCACACGTTCGCACGGCAGACCGCACAGGAGCACGGCAGACCCCACATGAGCACGGCAGACCAGGAAGGAGCACGGCAGACCACACAGGAGCACGGCAGACCACACAGGAGCACGGCAGACCACACAGGACACGGCAGACCCCACGGGAGCACGGCAGACCACACAGGAGCACGGCAAACCACACAATAGCACGGCAGACCATACAGGAGCACGCCAGACCACACAGGAGCACGGCAGACCACACTTTCGCACGGCAAACTCCACAGGAGCACGGCAGACCCCAAAGGGCACGCAGTGGTTACGTGGCACTGGTGTGGGATACCGTAAACTAAAACGTTCGAATATCTTCATAAGCCCCAGGGGACAAAAGGGACGCTTCCCGTTCTTGTCGGTCAGGTTCCCCAAAATGTCAATTTCGCTCGAGACCATCCTCGAAAAAATCGAGGTGTTGGAGGCTTATCTTTAAGACGTCTTATGTTAAAATGACGGTTTCGCTGCTCGAGAATCCTCCCCCCCTCACAAAATCAGATGTTGAAAAAATCAAAATTTTGTGTTATGCACGAAAATGAGGTTTCGCTCGATGACATCCTCGAAAAAATGAGATGCGACAGAGGTGTTTTACAACCTTCTCTGTTAAAAAAAAAAATGACGTTTTTCGCTCGGGACGTCCTCAGAAAATGAGCAGGAGCACGGCAGGCGGAAAAAAGGGAGCACGGCAGACCACACAGGAGCACGGCAGACCCCACAAGAGCACGGCAGACCACAAAGGAGCACGGCAGACCAAAGAGACGACACAAGGAGCACAGCAGATCCCGCAGGAGCACGGCAGACACCACACGAGCACGGCAGATCCCAAATGAGCACGGCAGACCACAGAAGCATTGCAGACCACACAAGAGCACCGCAGACCTCACAGGAGCACGGCAGGCCACACAGGAGAACGGCAGACCCACAGGAGCACGGCAAACCACAAAGGAACACGGCAGACCACAGGAGCACGGCAAACCACACAGGAGCACGGCAGACCACACAGGAGCACGGCAATCCTCACAGGAGCACGGCAGACCGCGCGCAGGTACAACATAAACGCGCCTTTTGTTGTACCCCGAACGCCGCTGGCGTTTCCCCCACAGGAGCACGGCAGACCCCACAAGCTCGCGGGAAACCCCAAATGAGCACGGCAGACCACAGGAGCACGGCAGACCACACAGGAGCACGGCAAACGCCACAGGAGCACGGCAGAAGCGGCAGGAGCACGGCCGTCCTCCTAATTAGTCATCTCTACTTGCCCATCCTACTCCTCTATGGCCGGAAAATGAAATTCGAGGCGGTGCCGAAAAAGGCCACTCCAAGACCATTATTGTTTCTTTTCGAAAATATTGATTTTCTGCTCCCGGCGCCCTGGAACCCCTCGGGCAGATTCACGGGCACCGGGCCGGCGCTCGAGCCAAACGGCCAGGGCCGGCACCAGGGCCAGCGGCCCGGGCCGGGTTCCGGCGCCGGCCGGCGCCCGAAAATTGAATTCCGAGGCGGTGCCGAAAAAAAACTACTCCAAGACATATTTTTCTTTCGAAAATATTGATTTTCTGCTCCCGGCGCCCGGGAACCCCCTTCCGGGCCGCTTCCGGCACCCGGGCCGGCGCTCGAGCCGAACGCCTGGGCCAGCACCCGGGCCAGCGCCCGGGCCGGTTCCGGCGCCGGCCGGCGCCGGAAAATTGAATTCCGAGGCGGTGCCGAAAAAAGGCCACTCCAAGACATATATTTCTTTCGAAAATATTGATTTTCTGCTCCCGGCGCCCGGGAACCCCTTCCGGGCCGCTTCCGGCACCCGGGCCGGCGCTCGAGCCGAACGCCTGGGCCAGCACCCGGGCCAGCGCCCGGGCCGGTTCCGGCGCCGGCCGGCGCCGGAAAATTGAATTCCGAGGCGGTGCGGAAAAAAGGCCACTCCAAGACATATTTTTCTTTCGAAAATATTGATTTTCTGCTCCCGGCGCCCTGGAACCCCTTCCGGGCCGATTCCGGCACCCAGGCCGGCGCTCGAACCGAACGCCCGGGCCGGCACCTGGGCTGGCGGCCGAGCCGGATCCAGCGCTGGCGTCGGCTCTGGCCGTCGCCGGAAAAATTGAATTCCGAGGCCGCGCTAACAAAACTCATCCAAACAGATTTTTCGAAAGTGCATCATTTCTGCTCCCGGCGCTCGGAGGCTTCTGCGTCTCAAGGAGAGGTGGAGCAGACATTAAAGGAGGTAAAAGCAAGCACACGAACGCTATGGACGCGCGATGCGCTGCCACAAGCCAGCTTCCCGCAAGATCGGTCCAGAGTGGGAGGGGACGGAGCTGGGCGGGTGATGGACCACCAGAGCACTGCTCCAGCCTTCCCTCAGCCCTGGGTCTGCTGACCACACAGGAGCACGGCAGACCACACAGGAGCGCGGCAAACCACAAAGGAGCAAGGCAGACCCCAAATGAGCACGGCAGTCCACACGTTCGCACGGCAGACCGCACAGGAGCACGGCAGACACCACATGAGCACGGCAGACCAAGAAGGAGCACGGCAGACCACACAGGAGCACGGCAGACCACACAGGAGCACGGCAGACCACACAGGACACGGCAGACCCCACGGGAGCACGGCAGACCACACAGGAGCACGGCAAACCACACAAGAGCACGGTAGACCATACAGGAACACGCCAGACCACACAGGAGCACGGCAGACCACACGTTCGCACGGCAAACTCCACAGGAGCACGGCAGACCCCAAAGGAGCACGGCAGACCACAGGAGCACGGCAGACCGTCTTCGAGGCCTCTTGGGCCGTCTTGGGGCCCTCTTGGAGCCATCTTAGCCGTCTTGGAGGCCATCTTGGCCGTCTTGGAAGACATCTTGGGCGTCTTGGAGGCCTCTTGCGCCGTGTTAGGGCCCTCTTGGGACCGTCTTGGGGACTTCTTGGGCCGTTTCGGGGCCATCTTGAAGGCCTCTTGGGCGATCTTAAAGCGATCTTGGGGGCCTCTTGGGCCGTCTTGGGCCGTCGGAACGCGGCAGGCCATCATTTAGTCTGTTCTGTTGCGTTTATGGGTTTCTCTGACGTTCTCGCCAATACGGTCTCTGACGCACGTGGTGGATAAAAAACGGCGCTTCCCGTTCTTGTCCGGTCAGGTTCCCCAAAATGGCCATTTCGCTCGAGACATCCTCCTAAAATCGAGGTGTGGTCTGCCGTGCTCCTGTGTGGTCTGCCGTGCTCCTGTGGTCTGCCGTGCTCCCCACAGGAGCACGGCAGACCGCGCGCAGGAACCGAGAGGACCGCAGCGAGGAGCACGGCAGACCAGGAGACCGAGAGGAGCACGGCAGACCAAGACGAGGAGCACGGCAGACCAGGCACCAAGAGCGGCAGACCTCAAGACGACGGAAAGGATGACCAAGACGAGGAGCACGGCAGACCAAGACGAGGAGCACGGCAGACTATGCCCTAAGAGTGCCCTCAAGACGGCCGAACAAGCGGGACGTTCTGGCTGAATCCTTGAGTACATATATCTTTTCTTTAACTATATGGGTTGAGCACGGCAGACACCACACGAGCACGGCAGATCCCAAATGAGCACGGCAGACACAGAAGCACTGCAGACCACACAAGAGCACCGCAGACCTCACAGGAGCACGGCAGACCCCACAGGAGCACGGCAGACCCCACAGGAGCACGGCAAACCACAAAGGAGCACGGCAGACCACAGGAGCACGGCAAACCACACAGGAGCACGGCAGACCACACAGGAGCACGGCAATCCCCACAGGAGCACGGCAGACCGCGCGCAGGTACAACATAAACGCGCCTTTTGTTGTACCCCGAACGCCGCTGGCGTTTCCCCCACAGGAGCACGGCAGACCCCACAAGCTGGCGGGAAACCCCAAATGAGCACGGCAGACCACAGGAGCACGGCAGACCACACAGGAGCACGGCAGACGCCACAGGAGCACGGCAGACCGCGCAGGAGCACGGCAGACCACACATGAGCACGGCAGACCCCACAGGAGCACGGCAGACCCCATAGGAGCACGGCAGACCACAGAAGAGCACGGCAGACCAACAGGAGCACGGCAGACCACACAAGAGCACGGGTCCGTAGCAATTTTGGCTCAAGGCCATGGCGCACCCGACGACCGCGAGTCCGTCGGGCGTTCTTGAGCGCGAGGGGCGCTCTGCCACGAGCCAGAAGCTTCGCCTACTTTGGTTTCCTTCGTGCCTGCAGGGCAGAGTGTTTCGGCCGAGCAGCGGTCAGTCCCTCGGTGTGCCGCCATGTCGGAGGTTGCCTCGGGGCTGGCTAGGCGGGCGTACTGGTTGCGTGCTAAGCGTGGCTGTAACGCTTGGAACTGGTGTGACAAGCGATGGACGTGCAAGGCGTGCGGCACCAGTGCTCCCCCATGGACGAAGGAGTACCGCTCCGACAAGGCCCCCCCGCGGGTGGACGCAGACGGGTTCGTGCAGCAACCCAGGGGAAGGGCTGAGCAGCGCGCGGCGAGGCGCTCGGCCTCCCAGCGAGCCCTCTCGGGGAGTACCGCGCCCAGCAGCGCCCCCAACAGCAGGGCACGGCAAGCGCGGCCTTGGGGAGAGGCCAAGACCCAGATCGATGAGCTGCAGGCGCAGCTCGTGGCGGCCAGGGAGCGCGTCGACACGCTCCAGGGGGCCTCGGCGCTCGGGCTCTCAGCGGACTTCCAGCGTGAGGCGGAGAATGCCCTCCAGCAGGGCAAGGACCAGGTCGCCGCCCTGGAACGGGCCGTCCAGGAGGCCCAGCGGACGGAGCGCCCACCTCACTCGGTGCTCCACATTGAGGCCAACGCCATACAGAAGGTCGAGCGCCAGCTGGCCACGGCACGTACCAAGAGGGAGAAGCTCCAGCTGCAGGCGTCCGAGCTGCGCGAGCTCATCGCGGAGAAGCAGGAGCAGCTGTCGGCAGCCGAGTTGGGAGTGGATGAAGTCACTGGGCAGATTGCGGAGCTGGAAGAGACCAGAGCCAAGGTCACGCAGCAGGCGATCCAGCGGGCCAACGCGGCTGTCGGAGGCGTTCCGAGCCCGCTTGGGGACGCCGTCCAGGGGTTGCTCACTCAAGTCGGCGCCCTGTCGGATCTCCTCAAGCAGCACGGAGCCGAGCTGCCCCCCAGGTTTTCCGAGATCGTCGGGATTCTCAACACGCAGAAGGAGGCGGTCGCTGAGGTGCTCAGGCCCCGTAGCAGCTCGGCCAGGAAGCGTTGGGGCGACAGCGTCGGTGACGACGGCCTCGCGACTGAGGATGACGACATGCCGCTCGACATCGTGGCCTCTGGTGGGCCTGCGGCCGCCCCTCCCGCTGCCGCCCCGCAGGCAGGGCCGACCGCGGCTGGGCCGCCAGCCACGCGGGCCAGGCCAGCGGACGGACCCTACGGCCCTGCTGCGGCCCGCGGCCAGCACGGGGCGACCCTGGGCGCGTGGCCTCAGGTGGAGCCATGCCTCGCAAAGGCCCTCGCCGAGCAAGGGGCGGCCCTCTCGGACGGCGACCCCTTGGTGGCTGCGGCTGCTGTCGTTGCTCCTGCTGCTGGGTACGGGCCGCGCCGTGGGTGATGTGGGAGCGTTGGAGTGGTCAGCTTCCTCCGCCGGCCTCGACGTCGGGGACAGCGGGGCGCCTTCCCCTCGGGATGTGCGCGGGCCCAGCTGCTGGGACAGGTGGAGGAGGCGCTGTGACGGCCGCTGGCGCGTCCGCGCCCCTCGCAGGCGGCGGGCGGCGCCGAGCACCCTTGCCCGAGGTAGCCTGCTGGCGCGGTCGGGAACGCCGAGGTGGCCCCCCGACGGCCAGTCAGGGGCCGAGAGCGGTGGGATTCAGCCCCACGACGTCGCAGCTCTCGGCCCCGAAGGTGATGGGCAGGCGCACCCCCCGCTGGCAACCGGAGGGGCGGAGGGACGGCCTCCTCCTCAGCGACGGCCACCTCCCGTTCTGGCGAGCGGCCCGCCGACGCCGATGAGGAGCGCTGGAGCGAGGGGCCAGGGCCCCCCTCCAGTCCTGGTGGGGGCGGAGGGTCCCGCGACCAGGGGCACGGCGGGCCTGGTGTCTGGCGCTGGTGAGCGCGCCGCTCGCGAGGCAGCCGTCATCGGCAAGGCGCCGCTGGTCGACAGGGCAGGAGGCCAGCAGCTTCGAGCTGGCCTCGTCATGCTCGGCTGCAATGGCAACACTTGGAGCAGGAGCATTGAGGCCATCGAGGCCTTCTTCAAGGCGTACGACTACTGGCCCGACGTAGTGGCGCTGCAGGAGACGAGGCTCCCGCATGAGCGCCTGCCCAGTGCGGCGGCTCAGGCCCGCGGCCTGGGTTACGCGGCCTTCCTCCACGAGGCAGCGCTGACGGAGAACCAGGGGCCCCAGGCGACCTCTGGCGGCGTGGCGATTCTGGTGCGAGACGGCTTGCAGGCCGACGAGTCTGCGTACCCGTTGCCCTCGGCCTTGCGGCACCGCCTCATCGGAGTGGAGGTCGCCGCCGCCTCGGGCCTTCGGTTCCTGGTGCTCGCTGTGTATTTTCAGCACTCTGTGGGCCCTCGAGGCACCAACCTGGACATGTTTTCGGCCATCTCGGAGGTGACGGGCTCTTCTGCCGACATCCCGTGGGTCCTCCAAGCCGACTTCAACATGGAGCCTGAGCCCCTGGAGGAGTTGGGATGGCCCGCGGCGGTGCGGGGGCACGTCCTGGGGCCCTCGGAGGCGACGTGCCATGCCGAGGGCTGTGACCACCTCTACGACTGGTTCGTGGCTTCCGCGGCGTTGGCAGCCTGCACGGCCTCCTGCGCCACCACGCTCGAGGGCTTCGGTCTACACCCTCATCGCCCTGTCCTGCTTCGCCTCCAGGATGTTCGGGCGGATGCGTTGGTGGAGGTTCCGTCCAGGCCCGCACGCTTCCCCGAAGTTGCCCCTGAGCTCCTTCGGGCGCACGAGGACGCGGAGATTGTGTGCTACTCGGTTGGCAAGAAGGGACAGGTCACGCCTAGGGGCGTCTCGTGGTCCTGGGACGCAGGCACTGCACCGACCAACCTCTCCGTCGCCTTCAGCGAGTGGGCGGCGGCTGCCGAAGGCACCCTGGTCGGCATCCACGGCATCGGCCAGGCAGACTTGGCCCGTCATCTCGGCAGAGGAGAGGGGCCGCGGCTGTCCCTCAAGCCTCTCAGTGCCCTGGTCAGGCGGGATGCCAGGTTCAGGTTCAGCCTCCTCACGCACCGCTTGAGGAGCTGCCTGGACGTAGCCCTCCAGCGGGTGCGCGCTGAGAGGACTGGCCGCTGGCACCCTCGGCATGCAGACTGGTACGGGCACCAGGCCGAGCTCAGGGCGCAGCTCTTGCTAGAGGCGGTGCAGGAGGCTTCCGACTCGGTCGGTGGGGCTCTCCCTGGCGCAGCTCCTGATCGACTAGGCGACCTGGTGTTTCAGGCGGGCGTCCACGGCAGCCCTGATGCCGTTCGGGACCTCCAAGGGCTGCTCGGTGCATCGCAGCGCCGCGACGCGGCTCAGAGCGCCCAGGCCTGGCGCAACTGGGCACAGACAGCCGTCGAGAAGGGCGGTCGTCTGGCCCACCGCTTCTCGAAGGCGACGCCCCCGCCGACGGTCAGGGACGCGGACTCGGGCAGGAGGCTTGTTGGGATGGCAGCGATTGGAGAGCTCACGAGTGTCTGGCAGAAGCTGTGGCTCCAGGACGGGTTTGCCCTGGGCGCAGGGGCCAGCAGCTGGGACGTTGGCGAGTGGCGGCTGCCACCCATCTCGCTGGAGCAGCTCCAGGCGGCCTGCAAGCGCTACAGCCCCTCGGTGGGTCTCGGGTGCGACTCCCTGCACCCTCGGCAGATCCTCCTGCTGCCCGTGGCGCTGCAGCAGCGCATCCTGGACATCCTAGCGGCCTACGACGACGCCCCTGCATCGATCAACGGGCAGGTCTCCCTGATGGTGTTCATCCCGAAGGCAGATGGAGGGGTAAGGCCCATTGCGTTGCTGCCGCTGGTCCTGCGGCTGTGGTCGCGCCTCCGCCAGCCGTGCTGTGCCCGCTGGGAGGCTGACCACAACTTCCCCTTTTTCTGGGGACGGGACGGGCGGGACTGCGAGCGGGCTGGGTGGCTGCACAACTGTTTTGCGGGGTTCGCGAAGGCGAACCAGCAGTTCGAGGCCGCGAGCCTCTTCCTGGACATCAGCAAGTTCTACGAGCATGTGCGTCATGATGTTATCTGGGCGAATGCTGTGCGGTTCGGGTTCAACCTCAGGCTGTTGCGCGGCCTCCTCACCTCCTACCAGGCCCCTAGGATGATCCTCGCGGCGGGCATGGCTTCCCCCGCCTTCGGCACTACTGGTACGGTGTTGGCTGGGTGTGCGTGTGCGACTGCAGTTGCGAAGCTCCCAGTGCTGGGCGCCCTCCTGGCCGCGGGGGCGACGTGCCCGCTGGTCACGCCGAGGAATGTTGTCGACGACATCTCGCTCCAGGCGGTCGGCACGGCCCGACTCGTTAAGCGGCAGATGTTGGCCTCCAGCTGTGAAGTGGTCCGCCTGCTGCGTGAACAGCACCTCCCACTCAACGAGAGTAAGTCGGTCTTCCTGGCCTCGTCGCCGCTGCTTGCCAAGGAGCTTTCCGAGGCGTGGGCAGCGCAGGGCTTGACCTTCAAGAGGGGACTGCAGGCGAGGAACCTCGGCACCGACGCCAACATCACTCGTCGTGGAGTGCATGAAGGTGCTGTGCGTGCGGTCGGCGGCCTTCGGCGTGGACGCAGGCTCGGGGTGCTTCGCTCAGCTGGTGCGGCGACCGAGATGGTGCACCGAGCTGGGCCCACCGCAGCGATGCTGTGGGGGCGTACTGTGACTGGTGTACCTGATAGGGAGCTTCATTCGTGGCGCTTGGCGGCTGCGCGCTCGGCTGGGAAGTTCCCCAAGGGCGCCTCACTCGGGCTGAGACTCAGAGCGGTGGAGGTCATGCGGTCCATCGACCTCGACCCGAGCCCCGCGCTGCTTCGTGCCGCTGTGCAGATGGCGGCCAGCCTCCTTCAGTCGGGGGAGGTCCCGCAGCGCATGTTCGTGACTGCCTTGCAGGAGGCGGAGCGGAGGCACGCGGGAGCAGCAGCCCCATGGGCGCACTGCCGAACGCCTGTGGATGCCTTGGCCCTCTCGCTCACCAGGGTGGGCTGGAGGCTCGTCCAAGGCACCTGCCTCGCCACCGATGACGGCCACATCCTGGACCTGCGCATGATGGGGCCGCGCGAGCTGGGCCTGCTGGCAGCGGCAGGGGCGCGGCGTGCTTCGGACAGGTCGGAGCTGGCCCGCCTAGGCCACGGTGCGCTCCCCCCGTCGCCCCTGTTCTGGGAGGCCTTCTCGGAGGTCCTCGGGCCTGGCAGCAAGCTCAGCCCCAGGGAGAAGGCGGCGGTGGTGAGTTTCCTTTCCAACGCCCACTGGCCCCAGACCCGTCTGCACTCGGCGGGGGAGAGGGAGCACGCTCGCTGCTGCGCTTGCGATGCACCCCGCGGCAGCCTCTGGCACAGGCTGTTCGAGTGTCCCGTCCTCGCGGGGCCGAGGCGCGACTCTACCTCCGACCGCCTTCGGCGCTGCGCACACCGTGCACGTGGCCGTGGTGAGGAGGCGGGGGAATGCTTCGCGCGCTGCTGGCTCCCTCAGCCCCCGAGGGCCGCCCCGAGGTCGGATGCCATGGCGGTCATGTGGTGCAATCGCCCCGCCGACGGTCTCCTCGGGGGGCGCCTCTACCTGGATGGGTCGGCGCTCGACCCCGAGCACGAGAGCCTACGGCGTGCGGGTTGGAGCATCGTGCAGTGCGACTCCGACGGCAACATGGAGTGCGCGGTGTACGGCAGCGTGCGCCAAGACCTCTGCCCTTTCCAGACGGCCAAGGACGGCGAGGACTTCGCGGTCTGGATGCTGTCCCGCTTCCTGGGCCCGAGTGTGGACGAGATCCTCATCGATTGTGCGTCTACGGTCAGCTGCCTCACGTTGGGCAAGAGGTACGCGACGGCAGCCAACAAGCCCAATGCCCATCTCTGGGAGGGGATCTACGCTTCGCTGGACGTGGACATGCTCAAGGTTACCAAAGTCGCAGCCCACTGCACCGCCAGAGACGTGATGGATGGCAAGATCACGGAGGCGGACCTCCGCGGCAACGGTCATGCCGACCGCTGGGCCAAGGCAGGTGCGGAGCTGCACCGCTCCAGCCCCGTGGCCAGGCGCGAGTTCTTCGGCACGATGGAGGTGGTGAGGGAGCTCTCATGCTGGGTGGCGCAAGCCTCCCTCATCTGGCAGGGGATCGAGGTCAAGGACTGCGAGGGCCTACCCGAGGGCAGCGAGCGGACGGCTGTCTCCTTCGCCGTGCCCGTGGTGGAGCCCGCCAGCAGCCGCCCGTCCGACTCGGGTTCGGGCGACGGGTGGGCCTCGGCGGCGCGCGCTGGTGGAGTTTCCCTCGGTGCGACGGCCTTCGTCGTCGCTGGACACGTCCTGGCCTTCGCCAGGTGTGGGGAGGGCGCCGCCGAGCAGGACTGATCGCGTGCACCCACTGTGGGGCGTACGCGCGGCTGGGCGGGCGCTCTGGCGCGGCGCCCAAGCTCAAGGAGCAATGCCCAGGGTCTGCTGGGCTTCCCAAGGGCAGGCGCGACCAGAAGGCACGCTGGCAGCAGGGACGTCATCCTGCTGGCACGCCCCACAGCGGCAGCAAGCGGGTCGGCGCGGCAGCGCCCAGCCTGCGCAAGGAGGACGTGGTGCCGATGGACGCCAGGGTGCGCTTCCTGCAGTGGCTGGGTGTCCGCCCCGAGGATGCCCCTGGCGGGGAGGCCGCCGGTGCCAGCCGCGTGCCCCCCAGCGGCGCGGCGGCCGCTGGCGAGGCTGCGGCGGAGCCGCTGGCGCCTGGCCCCGCGGGGGCCTCGAGGGAGGCATGGCTTGGCGCCTACGGCCTGGACGAGGCGAGCCTCTTTGAGTGGTCAGCAGCTGCTGAGTCGGCGCGTGAGGACAGGCGCAAGAGGCGCCGCATTGCTGATGGTGACGAGGGGTCGTGATGCAGCATCACTTTCTTCTTCCTGTTGTGTCCGCCCCTCTCGCGGTCTGCAGGTCTGCAGACACCGTTATCGTCTTTCTGTGCTCGTGAGGCAGCTCCTTCATTTTGTTGTGTGTTTTCCGCCCTCAAGAAGAGGTCAGGCCCGTTCGGCTTTGCAATGCGTGTGCTGGCCTCACATCGAGGTTCGTGGGGCCCTTCGTCCTTTGTTGTGAGTGTGGGCCTCGCGTCTCAGTTGCAGCGAGGCTGACATTGGCCGTGCATCGCGGGCCTCCGCCTCCACTGCTCTCTTGATTTCTTTGGAATCTTGCGCTTCGCGCGTCTGGCGCTTAGCGCCCTCCCCTGCGGTGGCTCCTTCGGGGCCCCTAGGGTTGGCCCTTGAGGCCCTGGGGCCAACGGGCTCCGTGGGCCTCGGGCTCCTTTTAGCCTTCATAGGCCCCGCAGCTCACAGCTCACACAAGAGCACGGCAGGCCACACAGGAGCACGGCAGACCACACAGGAGCACGGCAGACCACAAAGGAGCACGGCAGACCACACAAGAGCACGGCAGACCCCACAAGAGCACGGCAGACCCCACAGGAGCACGGCAGACCCCACAGGAGCACGGCAGAGCAGACCCAAAAGGAGCACGGCAGACCACACAGGAGCAAGGCAAACCACAGGAGCACGGCAGACCACACAGGAGCACGGCAGACCCCACAGTAGCAAGGCAGACCCCAAAGGAGCACGGCAGACCACCGGAGCACGGCAGACCACACAGGAGTACGGCAGACCCCACATGAGCACGGCAAATCCCAAATGAGCACGGCAGACCACAAGAGCACGGCAGACCACACAGGAGCACGGCAGACTCCACAGGAGCACGGCAGACCACAAAGGAGCACGGCAGACCACACAGGAGCCCGGCAGACGCCACAGGAGCACGGCAGACGCCACAGGAGCACGGCGGAACCCACAGGAGCACGGCAGACCGCGCGCGGGTACAACATAAACGCGCCTTTTTGTTGTACCCCGAACGCCGCTGGCGTTTCCCCAACAGGAGCACGGCAGATCTCACAGGCGCGCGGCAGACCCCAAATGAGCACGGCCGACCACAGGAGCACGGCAGACCCCAAATGAGTACGGCAGACCCCAAAAGAGCACCGTAGACGCCTCAGGAGCACGGCTGACCACACAGGAGCACGGCAGACCACACAGGAGCGCGGCAAACCACAAAGGAGCAAGGCAGACCCCAAATGAGCACGGCAGTCCACACGTTCGCACGGAAGACCGCACAGGAGCACGGCAGACACCACATGAGCACGGCAGACCAAGAAGGAGCACGGCAGACCACACAGGAGCACGGCAGACCACACAGGAGCACGGCAGACCACACAGGACACGGCAGACCCCACGGGAGCACGGCAGACCACACAGGAGCACGGCAAACCACACAAGAGCACGGCAGACCATACAGGAGCACGCCAGACCACACAGGAGCACGGCAGACCACACGTTCGCACGGCAAACTCCACAGGAGCACGGCAGACCCCAAAGGAGCACGGCAGTGGTACGTGGCACTGCTGTGGTATGCCGTACTAAAAACGTGGAATATCTCATAAGCCCAGGGGACAAAAGGACGCTTCCCGTTCTTGTCCGGTCAGGTTCCGGAAAATTGCGGAAAAATTGTCACTCCGCTCAAAAAATCTGACCAAGACGCGCCCAAGACGGCCACCAGGGCTCCAAGACGGCCCAAGAGCGCTCCAAGACCGCCCTAGAGCGTTCCAAGATGCCCTAATATGGCTTCCAGACGGTCCAAGAGAGCTCCAAGACGGCCCAGGAAGCCCTCAAGAGGCCTCCAGAACGCCTCCAGAGGCTTCGAAGAGGCCTCACAAGAGCGCCAAAGAGGCACAAGTCTATGATTTTTGAATAGTTTTTGAAGGTTTTTGGGGTTCTCGCCTTTTCCGTTTCCCGACGCTCCAAGACGGCCCAAGAGGCCCCCAAGATCGCCCCAATACGGCCCAAGAGGCCCCCAAGATCGCCTCAAGACGGCCCAAGAGGCCCCCAAGACGGCCCCAAGAAGGCACCAGAAGGCCCCAAGGCGGCCCCAAGACGGCCCCAAGGGGCTTCGCGGCGGTCCAAGAGGCCGTCAATATGGTTCCTAGAGGGGGCCCAGACGAGGTACACGAACAGACTTGTCGGGTCCTCGGCCCCAAGTGCCCCCCCGGAGGGTCCAGGAGGCCCCCGGGAGCCCCCCAAGACGCTCCAAGAGGCCCCCAAGAGGCCCCAAAAAGGCCCCCAAGACGGCCCCCAAAAACGGCCCCCAAGAGGCTTCAGAATTGCTTCTAAGAGGCCTACGAGAGACCGACCACGAAATCCCAAGGCTCCATTACGAACGATGACGTGGGCAGCTTCGAACGCCAGAGCTCCCAGTACGAACGCTGGCGTCCAGAGCTTTGACGACAAACACTGCTATGAGCAAAAACGGCGCTTCCCGTTCTTGTGCGGTCAGGTTCCTCACGAGTGACTCCGAAACACTCAGGGACTGCGTTCTCGTTCGAAACCTTGTCGCAATTGAGCACAGCGATTGGAAGCCCAACCACAACGACAACGGCTTCCGCTGGACACTTCCTCACAGTTTACTCCGAGACGCCCTGGTCGTATGCATGATCGCACTCAGGAACGTCGCTCTCGCCCAAGACGCCCTCGCAATCCGTTCAACTGTGTGAAATGCCAGCCGAGACGGCAATGGCTCCCGCTCGAAAAGTCCCCACGGTTCACTCCGAGACGCCTCGGGAACGGCGCTCGATGCCGAACCTTCTTCGCACTTCACTCAAGGTGGTGAGCGGCCCGCGGGCACGTCTGTGCGGTGCACACATAGGGTGCATTGCCGAGTGCTTCTCCGAGGAGCTGGTCTGAAAAGAGCTCCCCCTAGAAGAGGGTCGGCTCATAGACTTACAGTCGGGCATCTTACTAAGAAACCTCCCGAAAAGCTGGGCCCGGCGGTTCTGAACCAACTTGCTGGAAAGCTGGCCCCGTTTCTTGAGCACGCTCGCCCTTGCAGCGTGGTGAACAACAGAAATTGGGCCAGGTTTGGTTTACGAAACTTCGAAGAAGCTGGCCCAGATCTCTTGACTGATCTGTGTCTTGATCATCTGTTCGGTTGCAGTGGGCGGATACACGGGAAAGGGCGAAGCACACGAAGGTCAAAACAGCCGTTTAGTCCACATGTTCGCAAGATGGTCGTTGTCGTCCTCGTCTCCGTCCTTGTCGTCGTCGTCATCGTCGTTCCCGCCGCCGCCGCCGCCGTCGTCCTCGTCGTCCTCGTCCTCGTCGTCCTCGTCGTCCTCGTCCTCGTCCTCGTCCTCGTCCTCGTCGTCCCCGCAGGGGGGCCCCGAGCGCGCGGACTGGCAGACGTGGCGGTTCTTCCTGCGCAGCGGCCAGCGCGGACACCTTGCCGCCGCCCTGGCGCTGCAGGCGCTGGCCCGGGCCTTCAGCGCGCTGGGCGACGTGCAGCTCGCCAACTGGGCGAGCAGCCGCGCCGTGCCGCGCGGGAGCCACGCCGACAGCGCGCACGTGCTGGGCTACGGCCTGTGGCTGCTGGGGGCCACCCTCTGCTTCCTCGGCAGCTGCGTCTTCCTGGCCAGGCCCCTGATGATGATGATGATGCTGATGCTGATGCTGATGATAATGATGACGACGATGATGACGATGACGATGATGCTGATGATGCTGATGATGGATGACGATGACGATGACGATGACGAGGTGATGATGATGACGAGGACGATGACGACGATGATGATGATGATGATGATGATGACGATGATGATGATGATGATGATGATGATGATGATGATGATGATGATGATGATGATGATGATGATGACGATGATGACGATATGACGATGATGACGGTGATGTTTCCTCGGCAGCTGCATCTTCCGGCCAGGCCCAGGGCTTCCCAGCGCCGCGGGTCCGTGCAGCAGGGGGGAGGAGGAGAAGGAGGAGGAGGAGGAGGAGGAGGAGGAGAGGAGGAGGAGGAGTAGGGGAGGAGGAGGAGGAGGAGGAGGAGGAGGAGGAGGAGGGGGAGGAGGAGGAGGAGGAGGGAGGAGGAGGAGGAGGAGGAGGAGGAGGAGGAGGGGATCGCGCCGCACCGCCGTCGCGTCGGCGACGCGGCGAGACCCGGCGCCCCGGGCTTCCCCAGCCCGGCGTCGCAGACGCGTCGCCGAAGCGTCGGGCGGTGCGGTGCGATCCTCCTCTCTCCTCCTCCCTCTCCTCCTCCTCCCCTCCTCCTCCTCTTCCTCCTCCTCCCTCCTCCTCCTCCTCCTCCTCCTCCCTCCCTCCTCCCCTCCTCCTCCTCCTCCTCCTCCTCCTCCTCCTCCTCCTCGTCCTCCTCCGACCACTCCAGCCGCACTGGATTCTGGGCCTCCTGGATGGGGTCGGAGTAGGTAAGGTCGGAGGGTCGCGCCGCACCGCCGATGCATCGACGATGCTGAGCCTGGTTTTCTCCACGCCGACGTCGCCGATGCGCCGCTGACGTCGGCGATGCATCGCCGATACATCGCCGGTACACTGGCGATGCGGCGCGATCCTCCGACCCCATCTGCTCCGACCCCATCTGGAGGCCTCCATGGATCGACAGAAGGAAGCGGGGCCGTCTGCGCCGACAGTGGTGCGTCACCTGCCCGCGCACGGTCACGAGGCAAGCGCCCTCGCTTCGGCGTGGCCTGCCACGCCAGCGGCCCGCGCAAGCCACCGCGCAGGTTCGCCATGCCATCTCGCGCAGGTCCCGTTTCTTTTCGCCGCCCACTCTCAGAGATCCGATGTCGTGACTTTTTCAAGACGGGGTCCCCGGAAGTCTCGACCCATTCCCCAGGACCAGTTTTTCATCCTGAGTCGTTTTCTGACGGTCCCGGGGCCCGGCGAGGGCCTCTGGAGGCCGAAATCGGCGCAGAACCCCCCCGTCTTGATTTTTGTTCCAAGGCGCTGGACCTCTGGGCTTGGGAGGCCTCCACAGGTTCAGCTCCACCGTGGCGGGGGGCGTCTTCCGCGAGGTGTAGGGAGGCACCAACTATACACCAACACCGATCCTGGCCAGGATCGACCTGGGCCCAGGATCGGTGCATATGCCCTCCTGCCATGGGCAGAATGCATGTACACCGATCCTGGGCCTAGGATCGGCCTGGGCTGGATCGGTGTAACCCCAGGAAGCATTTAAGACCCCCCCCCTCCGGCAAATCGATAACCCTTCCGCACCATCATCCATATCCGCATCATCATCATCATCATCATCATCATCATCATCATCATCATCACATCATCATCATCATCATCATCATCATCATCATCATCATCATCATCATCATCATCATCATCATCATCATCATCATATCATCAGCATCATCATCATCATCATCATCATCATCATCATCATCATCATCATCATCATCGTCATCATCATCTTCATCATCATCATCATCATCATCATCATCATCATCATCATCATCATCATCATCATCATCATCATCATCATCATCATCATCGTGTCCGGGTGCTACAGCTATCGTTCGGTTATTTCGGCCCTTCGGAATATCGAATAAAAAATGCGGTGCTACGATATCGCCGGGGGGGTTCTTAAATGCTTCCTGGGGTTAGGTTGTATAGTTGGTGCCCTCCGAAGGTTGGCGGGGCCTCTCCCGGGGCGCCAGCCGGGCCCCTGGTCCGGGGCCGCGGGCAGCCAGGAGGGCGGCTACGCCGGCCCTGTTCGTGGACCTGGCGCAGCCGGAAAGGGAGATGGGTGGTGGTTGAAGCCTGCAACAACGTCTTTGGTTGCCAGACCTCGTCCTCCTCTCCTCACCTCATCCTCCTTCCCTCCTTCAATCATCCTACCTCCCACTACCTCTCCTCCTCCTCCTCCTCCTCCTCCCTCCTCCTCCTCCTCCTCATTGATCTCATCAGCTCCCATCATCATCATCATCATCATCATCATCATCATCATCATCATCATCATCATCATCATCATCATCATCATCATCATCAACCCAGACCCGTCGTGTCGTTAAGAAAGATAATGGCAGGAGGCCTCTGGCTATTGCCGGCTTCTCGGAGCCCTTACTGGCCCTCGGGGCTGTCAGGAACGACCCGGGATGAAGAGCGGGTTCCGAAGAATGGGTCCAGACCGCTGGAGGTCCACGACGTGCACAAGTCATGGCGTTGGGGGTCGAGGAACAAGGAAAGGGGCCCTGGAGGGAGGGGTCGTGGAGCTGTTTCTTCGCCTGCGCCCCCCCCGGGGGCCCTTCCCAGGCCCCAGGGCCAGCCAAAAACGACGGCTCGGGATGAAGCCGGTGGTGCGGGGGAGAGCCCCGCGGACTGGGGCACGTGTCCAGCAGGGCCCGCACCTCGCGCGCCAAGGTACGTGTTCGTCTGCGTCACCGCGCTGGCGTACGTCCACTTCTCCATGCCCTGGAGGTTCGGCTACTTGTGAGAGGGACCCTTCGCTGGAGTGACCTCTAGGCGGGCTCATCGGGGTCCCCTCGATCGCTGAGCGCGACGTGACGGTAGCTGCTTGCGCGCTTGGATCTAGCCACCTCGCGCCCCCTCAGTCCGCGCACTAAAGGTCGCTCTTGCCTAGGGTCACGCTCGCGTGCAGCCGAGAGGTTCACGGTCATAGCCCTGCCGTGCTATGCCGTCCTGGCGCGGATGGGCGTGCTCTACTACAAGACGTCGGCGCGGCTGCTCCACCTGGAGCCCGGGCAGTGCGAAGGGGGGGGGGGGGGGGGCCACTGCCGAAGGGGTCGCCGCCACCTCCAGGGAAGTGGCCCGCCTGGAACGCCCCAGTACTCCTGGAAACGCTTCAAAACGACCAACTCCTCCCCGATTATCCCTCTTCCTATATTTGTACAAGCCCGGGCGGGGGGAAAACCCGGCTTGTAAAACATAGAAAGATCGGGGGCGGAAAAGAGGGGGGTGATGACTAGGGGGGGTGGATATCATGGCGGGGGCCATGAGATTTCCCCAGATCTCATGGCGCCTCTTCTTATTCCATTACGTCCCTGGCCCCCCCGCTGGGCCGCGCACATGCCGCCGGTCATGATTTGCACCCCCCCCCTTGGACACCCCCCTCTTGGCCGCTCCCGAAAAGAGGTGTGTGCGTGTGTAGTTATATACATACATGTGTGCATATATGTATATGTCTCTCTCGCTCTCTCTCTCTCGCTCTCTCTCTCTCTCTCTCTTTTTTTTTTTTCTCTCTCTCTCTCTCTCTCTCTCTCTCTCTCTCTCTCTTCTTCTTCTTCCTATATGTTTACAAGCCCGGGCGGGGGGAAAACCCCTCCCCCCCCTGAAACCGGACTCCCCGGATCTGGGGCTTTGGGACCCTCCGGACGGGCCTCGAAGCGGCCCCCCGGGCCTCGCAGGGCATTTTGCCAAGCTTTCCCAACACACCTAGGGCGATCAGGGGGGTCATCGGAGACGTCTCAGAGACCCCAAGACAGCACAAGAGCGCTCCAAGAGTTACCGACGTGACCTCAAGATGGCCCAAGAGGCCTCCAGGACGGCCCCAAAGAGGCCTCCAAGAGCACTCCTAAGAAGGCCCCAAGAGGCAAATATCATGGAGTTTCTGATGGTTTTTAGTGAATTTTGGGGTTCTCCTCTTTTCGGCTTCCCGACACTCCAAGACGGCGGTCTTCTGGGCGTCCGAAGCCGCCTGGGAGGCTCCCAAATCGCCCCACCACCATCCGAAAGGGCTTCCAGGCAGTCCAAGAGAGCCTCAAAACGGCACAACATGGGTCCAAGATGGCCCTCAGAAAGCCCCATGGCGGCCCAAGATGGCCCCAAAACACCCTCCGAAGCATTCCAAATCGTGACCGGGTCGTTCAGGGAGACCGCGGTTGGAGGCAGGGTGGCTCGAGGAAGCCCCCAGAATACGCCCAGGAGGCCTCCAGAAGGCCTTAAGAAAGCTTGAAACAATTTTTGTGAGGCCCCCAGAGGCTCTCCAAGGAGGAGCCTCCGCAAAAAAGAGCTGAGGAGGATGGGGAGAATGCGCAGGGTATGGCGAAAATGATGAAAATGAAGCCCGACACCACAGGGGGGGGCGCACGGGGTGATCCCTGAGCGCGGCCGCTATCCATGACGGTCGTCTTTGCCCTAGCAGGCGTGGCAGATTCTCAACACCACAGGGGGGGCGCACAGGGTGGTCCCTGAGCGCGGCCGCTATCCGTGACGGTCGCCCTTGCCCTAGCAGGCGTGGCGGATTCTCGACACCACCAGGGGTGCGCACGGGGTGGTCCTTGAGCGTGGCCGCTATCCGTAACGGTCGTCCAGGGCACGGCAGGCGTGGCGGATTCTCGACACCACCAGGGGTGCGCACCGGGTGGTCCCTGAGCGTGGCCGCTATCCGTAACGGTCGTCCAAGGCACGGCAGGCGTGGCAGTTTTCTCGACACCACAGGGGGTGCGCACGGGGTGGTCCATGAGCGCGGCCGCTATCCGTGACGGTCGTCCACTCTCCTCCCCCGTCTCCTCTTGACTGGCGTCACCAGCGGTATCGGCGGGGCAACGGCCACCAACATCATTCTCACATGCTTTACTTCAGCTATCATTACTCCAGCCGTAATATAAGTATGTGGGGTTCCTCGGTAGCGTAATTGTTGGTTTCCGCTCTTTCGGCTTGCCGACGCTCCAACCCAATCCCAGAAGCACAACCGCCCGTTTCAAGACGGTGTCAGAGGGTCCCCCAGGGGCGCCCAGAGCACCCAAGAGGCCCCCAAACCGCCCCAAGACACCTCCAGGACAGCCCAACAGGGTACCGAGTCGCTTCCGAGTCGCCGGGAAATCACTCCCACACGCCCGCGGTCGCCTCCTGACGTGGCGGCCCACGCACGCCCCCGAGAGGTTCCACGGAAACTTCCAGAATCCCCAAGACGGCCCCCCAGACGCTCCAAGAGGTGCCCCAGACGGTCCTTCAGGAGGGCCCCTGGAGGCCCGCTGTTTCCGCTAGTCTTTTCTGATGCTCTTGTCTTTGTTCCCACCTCTTCGGCTTGCCGACGCTCCAGCCCAGCCCCATCAGAAGCACCGCCCAGAGACTCCTCCAGGACGGCCCAGCAGGGCACCGAGTCGCGCCCGAGCCGCCGGGAAAGTCACTCCCGCACGCCCGCGGTCGCCGCCTGACTGCCTACCGCGCTCCCGGGGCGTTCCGCGAATCCTTCCAGACGGCCCCCCCAGGCGCCTCCTCCTCCTCCTCCTCCTCCTCCTCCTCCTCCTCGTCATCCTCCTCCTCCTCCTCCCGAGGCGCTCCCGAGGCCTCCTGACCGCCCCCCAGTCGCTCCAGAAGGATTCCCGGGCGGCCTTCAGGAGGGCCCCAGAGCGCAACATTCATGGGTTCCCATGGACCTTCAGCGTTTTGAGGAGCTCCCGCCTTTTCAATTCAGAAAGCTGACAACAACCCACGAATCATCAGCGACACCTCAAGACCAATCCGAGCCTCTAGAGGGCCCACGTCGTCGTCGTCGTCGTCGTCGTCGTCGTCGACGTGGCGTCGCTGTCGTCGTCGTCGTCGTCGTCGTCGTCGTCGTCGTCGTCGTCGTCGTCGTCGTGGGCCACGGAGGAGCTTCGACGTTCGACCCTCGTCCCCTGCCCTCGAGGCGTGCGACGGGTTTTGGTCGAGGGTGGTGGAGGAGGAGATGGGAGGGAGGAGGAGGATCACGAGCAGGCGGAGGATCAAAAAAGGGAGCAGGGAGAAGGGACAGGGAAAGCCACGGAGGGAGCGGAAAAAGGACTGGAAGGAGGAGGTGGAGGAGGAGGAGGAGGAGGAGGAGGAGGAGCAGGAGGAGGAGGAGCAGGAGGAGGAGGAGGAGGAGCAGGAGGAGGAGGAGCAGGAGGAGGAGCAGGAGGCGGAGGAGGAGCACAGCAACGCTAAGGACCGAAAGGGACGAGGGCAGGGAAAGTCCGAGGCGGACTGAGGCTCCGCAAGACCCGCGTGCGGGAACATTCGCAGTGTCGCCCTCACGACACGAGCGAAAACGAAGGCCATGGCCGAGCTGTGACTAGAACCTCAGCGCGCGTAGCGTGCGCGTGGCTCTGTCTGTCTCTCTCTCTCTCGCTCTCGCTTTCTCTACCTCTCTCTCTCTCTCGTTGTGTTTGTTGTTGTTCTCTTCCTCCCTCTCTCTCTCACGATATACATTTGCATACGCACATACATACATACATATATACATACATACACACATACATGCATGCATGCATGCATCTATGCATACATGCACACATGCATACATGCATGCATGCATGCATGCATGCATACATACATACATACATACATACATACATACATACATACAAACAAACTAACTAACAACCAGACAAACTGACAGACGGACAGACAGACAGACAGACAGACAGACAGACAGACAGACAGACAGACAGACAGACAGACAGACATACATACAGACAGGCATACACACCTTTCACGGGGGACCGGGCCCGGAGGCCCTGGGGTGGCGACCCCGACCGCCAATGGGGGAAACCAGGAGGCCTGCCTGTCTGTGGGGCGCCCACTATTGCTTCTGAGAGCCACTACACCCTAGGCGATGCTTAAGAAAACTGAAGTTTTCGTCCAGAGTCTCGATTATTCTTAACTTTTCAATGTAAATCCCAAGATGTTGATAGAAGTTCTGGGTTTTATTCCATTTCTGAGACTATGAATTGCTTAACCCATGATTTCTTAAGCATTTCGCAGGGTGTAGACTGCCGTTGCGGCGGCCGTATCGGCCCTGAGTCGTCCCCACGACGCTTTCCACGGGTCTCCGTCGGCCCAAGATGCTTCCCAAGCGGACCAAGAGGCGCCCACGACGCGTCAAGACCGCTGCAAGAGAACCCCCAAGATGGCTCCGAGAAGCAACAATCGTCCCATTCCTCTCGAAAACTTATGTATGGTTAGCCTATTGCCTTGTTCGATTCCAACACGGCCCAAGACGGTCCAAGACATCTACCAAACCGCCCTGGGGTTGCCCAAGAGGCCCCAAAGAGGGTCCGTGGACGGCCCAAGAGGGCCGCGTGACGGACCAAGAAGCCCCGAATACGCCCCAAGACGGCCCCAAGATGGGCCCAATAAGGGGGAACCCGCGCTGCAATTTCGAGCCCTCCACCCAAAGATGACCCCCGAGGCCGCCAACAGGCCCCAAAAGGCACCCAAAAGGCCCCCCAAAGCCCCAGGGAGGCCCAAGAGAGGGTCCAAAGAGGCCCCCAAGAGACTCCAGGAGGCCCCCGGGAAGCCCCGAGGAGACCCCAAAGAGATCCCACACTGGGCTCCGCCAGACTTCAACGATACACCAAGATACGTCTACGAGGCCTCTGGCCCACGTCCCTGCGGTTCGCAACCCCGCGGGGAGCCGCGAGGTCTTGATAAGGGAGAGGACGACTAAACAGGAAAGCGAGGGTGGCGGGGAGTCGTCGAAGTGGAGGCGGGGAGGAGGAAGGAGGGAGATGGGATGAAGGAAGGAGGAGGAGGTGGGGCCTACACTGCTCTATTCAAAGCGAGAACCTCATTAAGGGAAGGTTGGGAATCACTCCCCAAGGGCACCCAGCCCCCAAGATGTCCCAAGTAGCGCCCGAAGAGGGCCGCAAGAGGGTCCCAAGCCGGCTCAGGACAGCCGCAAGATAGCCGCCATTGAAGCCCAACAAGGGCTAGGATGCCCCCAAGACGGCCCAAGAGCGCCCAGAGATGTCCCAAGAAGGCTCGAACACGGCAAAGGAAAGGCCAAGAGGGCCTGAGGTGGCCCCAAGAGGAGGCAAGACTGTCCCAAGAGGACCCTACAATGGCCAGCGCCCGCTGGCCCGATTGCTTTCCGACCGGCTAGAACCTAAGCGTCCGGGGGCCTGGGGCCAGGGCCAGGACATTCTCCCGGATTCCCCCCATTCTTTTGGCCTGCGACATTTGGACCCCTGCCAGGGTCTCCTGGGCCCCCCGCCACCGTTCAAAACAGCGCCGGAGGCCACCAGCAGAACGACCAGAGCGACCTGACAGGACCGAAGGCGCCCGAAATTCTCAAGACGGCTCAAGAGGTTCCGAAGACGTCCCAAGAAGGCTCCAAGATTTGCCCCGAGAGGGCCCCAGGAGGCTAAACTTGTCCCATTCCTTACGGCAAACGTGAATTTTGGCATATTCGCACTCTGGTTTTGAGCAGCGTCCAAAACGGCCCAAGAGGCCCCAAAGATCACCCCGAGACGGCCCAAGACGCTCCCAAGAGGGCCCCAGGACGACCCAAGAGGCCCGAAGACAAGAGGCGCCCAAGACGGCCCTAGAGGTGGAGCTCAAACTGAGATTTCGAGCCCTCCGCTCCCAGTGGGCCCCTAGGTTTGTCAGCAGACCCCCAAGAGGCCCCCAAGGGCTCAACAAGACGCTCCAAGAGGCCCCCCCCAACGGTCCCCAAGAGGCCCCAAGAGGCTTCCCGAGAAACACGCCAACAGATCCCGAATTACAGGTATGCGAGAATCTTCTTGTCCAACGCTCAGGCACAGTAGCAATATGGGCCGAAGGCTATAGATAAGCCAGCAATTGGCTTGTCGACTGATCCATCCCTATGCAGTCATGTGTAGCGCAGGGCGCGGTCTCTCTTCCTGCACTGCGCGCCTCGGGGCACTGCGGAAAGGGGGCTGCTGCGGAGCACGCGTGCGCGGGTGCCGCTGAACTCCTTGTGGGGCACGGTCCGCGTGAAGCGTGTGCCGAGTAATTCAGATGCCCCGCACGAACACGCCCACTGAAGCCGCAGGTGGACCTCCTCCTGGCACGACCCATACGAGGCATGTTCCGAAATCGGCGGGGGGACGCCACGCGAAGCTGCCCACTGGTGCCATAGGTGTAGCTCCTTCTGGGGCATGATTCGCATGACGGGTGTGCCGGCAAGGGGGGGGGGCGCTGTGCGAACCTTGCCTCTAGGTGGTGTTCCTTCTGTGCACGGTCCGCGTGGTGGGGTGTGCCGCAATGGGCGGGGGGGGCGCAATGCGAACTTTGCCTCTGGGGTCATAGGCGGGGATCCCTGTGGGCCACGACCCAGTGCGAGAGGTGTGCCGAAGCAGGCGGAGGGGCGGCATGCGAGCCTTGCCTCCGGGACCGCCCGTCCGTGAAGCTCCCTGCAGGCCACGATGTGTGTGTGAGAGGTGTGCCGAAGGAAGCCAGGCGACGCTATAAAAGCGTCCCTCCGGTGCCGCACATGCAGCTACCTGCTGGGCGCGATCCGCGTGCCACGATGTGCGAGCCTCGTTTCTGGGGACGTAGGTGGAGGCCCCTGTGGGGCGCGATGCCTTCGAGAGGGCCCCGCGGGCTCCCCCCCCGCCACCAGATGGGATAGGGACGACGACGATGATGACGACGACGGCGACGCGGTCCTCCTCTCTCTCTCTTCTCCTGGCGACGCGACGCACGAACGACGACGGGGACTGCGACCACGGAGATCGACGAGGCGGCGGCGACGATTCGACGGCGACGGCGACGGGCACGACCGTGGCCGTAGAAGCAGACACTTCAGCGTCGCCGTCGTCGCAGCGGTCGTCGTCGCCGTCGCCTCATCGTCGTCCGTCGTCGCCGCCAGCTCCGTCGTCGTCGTTGTAGAAGTCGTTAGAAGTCGTCGCCGTCGCCGTCGTCGTCGTCGTCGTCGTCGTACCAGTTGTACGCGTCGCCGTCGTCGTCGGTACACGCTTCGTCGCACGCGCGTCGTCGGCGCGTAGAAGTCGCAGTCGCTGTCGCCGTCGTTTCCAGGACCGCCGCCGTCGTCGTCGCCGCGTAGTAAGTCGTCCGTCGTCGTCGCCGTAGAAGTCGCCGTCGTCGTCGCCGTCGCCGTCGGCGCCGTCGTCGTCGCCGTCGCCGCCGTCGTCGTCGCCGTCGCCGTCGCTGTCGTCGTCGTCGCGCTGTCCTGCCGGGGGGCGCTGGAGGTCTGGTCGGGGCGCCGGCCCGAGGAGCGGCGGCTCGCCTCGGCGCTGCTCGCGGGCGCGGCGGAGGCCGAGGCCGCGGGCGGTTGCCGCGCGCTCCCTGCCTCCCTTTTGCCCCCTCCCTCGCTCCCTCCAGCCCTCCCTTCTCCCTCCCTCGCTCCCTCCCTCCCTCCCTGCCCCCCTCCATCCCCCCCCCCCTCCTCCTTCCTCCCTCCGTCCCTCCCTCCCTCCATCCTCCCTCCTCCCATCCTCCTTCCCTCCCCTCCCTCCCCCTCCCTCCACCTCCTCCCCTTCCTCCTCCCTCCCCTTCCTCCTTCCTCCTCCCTCCCCTCCCTCCCCTCCCTCCCTCCCCTCCCCTCCCTCCCTCCCCCTCCCTGCCTCCCTCCACGGGGCCGAGGCCGCGGCGGTCTCCGCGCGCTCCCTCGGGGCCGCCGCCCTGCTGGACGCCGACTTCGCCGCGCGCGCCGCGGAGCAGCTGAAGGCCCAGTTCCTGGCGAGGACCCCCGCGAGGGGCAAGCGGTGCCCACCATGGGCCCAGAGGTCAAAACGAGGAGGAGGAGGAGGAGGAGGAGGAGGAGGAGGAGGAGGCGGAGCAGGAGGAGGAGGAGGAGGCGGAGGAGGAGGCGGAGGAGGCGGAGGAGGAGGATGAGGAGGAGGAGGAGGCGGAGGAGGCGGAGGCGGAGGAGGAGGAGGCGGAGGCGGAAGAGGAGGAGGCGGAGGAGGCAGACAGACAGGCAGGCAGGCAGGCAGGCAGGCAGGCAGGCGGGCAGGCAGGCAGGCAGCCTCTCTGGGTCCCGCGTGGCCGGTCCGCCGACCGGCCACGCCTCACGGGCGCGCCCCAGCCGTGCCCGGGGAGCGACGGGCAGACAGACAGGCACAGACAGACAGATTGACAGACAGACAGACAGACAGACAGACAGACAGACAGACAGACAGACGGACAGGCAGACAGACAGACAGACAGACATACAGACAGACAGACAGACAGACGCAGAAAGAGAGAGAGAGAGAGAGACACACTGGCAGGCGGGCGTACTGCGTACCAGCTAAAGGCCCACTGCCCGGCGAGGACCCCCAGGGCCCATGTCGATCCGATCGATTCGATTCGATGCCAGTTTCGGCCAACTCGATCCCATTCGCTTCGAAGTCTTGGAGGTCCGGTGTGGCCCCATGCTGGCCCGGCGCTCTTGCGCATCCCGTCGCGACCGATCCGCTTCCATTTCGATCCCGTGCCGACGCAGCCCGATCCGACGCACGTTTCGGTCCGATCCGACTCGCCGACTCGATGCTGGCCGATCCTGACCCTGGTGGGAAGGCCAGGGCCGAGATCTGGGCGTTGCCCTTCTTGTTGCGCGCGGGCGTCTCCGCCTGTGCTCGGACGCTCCGGGACCGTCACGGGGGCAGTCGCAGCTCGAAGCGTGGACGGGGAGGAGGAGGAGGGGGAGGAGGAGGAGGAGGAGGAGGAGGAGGAGGAGG